TATGTATGTATGTATGTATGTATGTATGTATGTATGTATGTATGTATTTTGTTTCTCCTAAAGTTGTGCTGCTCTTCTGTCGTTGGTGGCCGTTTTGGCCGTGGCTTCTTGCTACCCTCCGCTCAGCTCAAAAGAAGTCAACGTGGACCACAGGGTCACCTTCTCCGTCGGGTTCTTCCTCGGCTTGCTCAGGGCTGGGTGTCATGGCCTGTGGAGCTGCCTCTAGAAGAGGTGTGTCCGTGGAGAATCTCAGTTTCTTGGGAGCTGGTGGTGACAGTTCAGGCTGCAGGGCTGCTGTTGGAGGTGCCTTGGCACGTGGTGGCTGGGGTTCATGGCCCGTTGAAGGTGCCTTCTGGCTGTCCGTGCCTGGGGTGCCTTGAGTACCCTGTGCCTGGGTGTTGAAAAGCTGGATGAGAGTAGGTGATCGCTGTGTGTTGCCTTGGCATTCTTTAGTCAATGCTTTGGTCAGAATCGCCCTGTCTTCGGCGTCCAAGTGGCTGTTGGTACCACAGTTCACACATCGGATTGCTTTGCCCTTTTGCCATAGGGCATGTGTGGTGTGCCCCCCATGTGGCTTGTCATACTGCTCATCGATGCATCGGCTGTGGATGAACGCCTGGAAGTTGTCTTCATTTGTTCGTTTGTGGGTGGACAAGTTGCACTTAGTGCACTTGAGGTACCCGGTCGTCTCTTGGAAGGTGTGCTCATCAGCTGCCTGTGGGTGTTGCTGCTGTGTCTCCAGCAGTCTTTTGATGGCAGCGGCTCTGGTGAGCTTTTGCCCGACTGGTTTGTCTGGTCGGAGATCTGGTTCTGGAGCCTCATGTGTCAGGAGTGCACAGTCTTGTTGGAGGTGCTCTTCGATGACCTCAACGGTGAGGGCTTGATGTACCCTTGTGTGACAGGTCTGGCATTGGTACCCACTATGTATGTATGTATGTACGTACGTAGGTATGTATGTATGTATTTAATATAAACATATATAATATATGTTAAAGACATCATGTTAAAACAAGTTAAAACGTATGATACCTAGAGCTCCGAGTGGAGGGATTCCTATCAGCATAAAAACATAAATCATCAATAGCCTTTGATCTCGCGTGGTTTCTGTGACTTCGACGAGTCGTGGCGATCACATGTCACTGCAGATCTAAAACCTGAGTCGGTCCAGGAAGACCTGGTCCTGAAAACCTTAGTCAGCCAGACCTGAAAACGTACCATGACTGTCCTTGAGATCACGAACAGGTCTGGAAGGTCACGAAGAGGTCTGAAGTTTGGTCACTGATCAGTCCTGAAGTTTGGTCACTTGAGAGGTCCTGGAGAGTAGTGTTTTTGGGTTATACTTCTTTTGTTGGGGGGGAGAGGGGGCATGCGCAAGTCCAGTAAACCGAGGTCCTGACCAGGGTTTGCCCTGGTTACGGCGTGGCCCCGGACATTCCGGTCCGGTGTCAAGGAGTGTTATAAGGTGTGCTTTTGTTGCTGTTCTCAGCACCCCCCACCTGCACAAAGCGCTTCCTCCCTCCTCGACCCGATTTGGTTCGGTGAAGGCTTCAGGCTTCGGGTCAAAGCCCTGTTATCTTAAAACATGTTAGGACACAACTACCGCGCGGTAGTCCACTGACTGGTACTTAGTGGGGAATGAGGGAATGACCCCTCACTATAGATACCTTAGGATCCATTCTCTTATTCCTTACTAAGCACCAGTCAGTCCATTTGATATGGTGTGCATTAATTGTTCTTCTGAAGTGGATGCGGACCCAAAAACACACTCGTCGACGAACAGATCACACAATCAAGCCGATGGCACGGGCCCTGGGAGGACTACCCGGGGGTGACCTCCACTTCCATGTCAGTGAGTCAAAGGGTACTTAGACTTCAGTCTGCTTGGTGACCTCCTGTCGGTCACAAAGAGTGGGGGGGCTGGAGTCGTTTCAGGTGAACCAAGGATCTTCTTGCGCTTCCTTGGGCCGATGTCACTGACTTCTTTGGGTGCTCCAAAACGCCTCTTTGGTCGTCTCTCCAGTTCTGTGGAACCCCAAAACGCCCGAAAGGGCCGATCCATGGGGCTCCGCACGAAGTCCGCCCGAGGTCGGCCGGTCTTCGCGTCCATGACCACCTGCCGGGAGGTCCGTTAGAGTGCCGCACCTGGATCCTACATGGACCCCGGGAACCACGCCAATGGTAAGAAAATAGGCCATAGATGGAGTGTCTGGGTATGATCTTCCAGGACAAGACATGACCAGAAACGTTTGGTCAAGAATATATGTTCGGTTGTTCTCTTTCTGTTCATGAACGGGACTATGGAACAAGCTCCTAAACAGTTTGCCTACAGGTATATGTTGTTGTTTTCAATGAAGTCATTTTTTGTCACCCAGCTCTACTCTTCCATTCCTTCTCCCAACTGTTCTGTAAGAGTCCCACCACTCCCTGAGCGAACACTGAAGACACTTCACCCATCTGGCTTGATCGGTCCGGATTGGACGTTGGGCCCACATGGGAGGCCCAACAACCACGGACCGAGCGGCCGGCCGAGCTCATCGGTTGCGTCACGTAGTGCGGCAAGCGACTGGCGCCAGCCAAGGCCCTAGGCCAGCCACTTTCCAAGTTTCATGGCCACACGTTTATTTATATATACTATATGACAATATGACTATATCATAATTATATAACTCTTGTCTTTTTCCACCTGGTCATGTCATAAAAAAAGTATGAAGAGTATTAAACAGTGTTTTGTTTTTCCAATCACCCTCAGAAAGGTTTTTGCTGGTCATCAACTTTCCGTGGGTAGGGTTTGGAACAGGTCGTCGCGTCTGTCACAATACGTGTGGGTTTGGAGCTTGACCTCGCTGTGAGGTCAAACGAATTGACTGAATCGAGCTGCAGCACCCCTTCCCTCCAAGGAATCCGCATGCTCTCTGGAAAAAAACGACAGGCCCAGTCTAACCCAGCCACATCTGGTCAGTAAGAATGCAAGCTTCTGCTCCCTGAACTTGCGCAGAAACCTCCTCTTCCACCGCAGCTTCTGCGAAGTACCATGTGTTTTTTTTATGTTTTCTGCACCCACCGGTCGAAACCGTGCCTTGAATTTCACCATGGTGCCCACTTCAGGTATCTTTCCGCCGAAGGCTGCGCAAGCAATTGGCATGACCTGGTGTGCCGTGTGCTGGGGCTTCGGCGGGGCACGGCTGAACATGAAGGTTTCCAGTTGTTTGAAGGTTTTCGCTGGAAAATGCTCAAGCTGGAATCGAGCAAAACCCCTACTGGACTGTTTGGTTTGCCTGCAACCTGCACGGTTGAGACTCCTTAGGGGCCAACATGTCAAATAACAAGTTTGAAAGTCTTCCTCCACAGCCTCAAGATGCCTCAAGTTCAGTCCACATGGAAGACAAGATCTTGCCGTGCGGCAAGAAAACCACATGTGATCACACGGCCTCTTGAACCAATTTCGACTAAGGATTCCCATGGATTTCCCTATATAAAGGCTTCCAACCATTGGATTTTCGTGGTCTTTACCGAACCACCAGGCTTTGGCCCCTCAGCGGGATGTTGAAGGACACGGCCTGCATTCGTTCCCCACCGTTCGTCCGTTCTCGGTGACCCAAACGAAGAGTCGATCGTTCTCATCCTGGCCATCCATGACAATGAAGCCAAAGCTCTGGTTGTCCTGCAGTCCCCGAGTGCCCAATGTTCCAACACCACCAGGCAGGTGGTCGAAAATGAAACGAACTGGTGATTGGGAGTGGCCTAGTCTTGTGTGTGGTTAACTTCTTCATCATCGGTCTGTGTGAAGCGACGGTTGGAAGCATCGGATGCTGCGGACCAGCTGGGGGGTTACAAATCTCTCCTCCAAGCCAGGCGCCGGTCGGAAAAAACCTCTCCACCCCCGGACGAGCTCCTTCTCAATGGAGCCGTGAAAGTCATGATCCTGAGCCGCGAAAACGGCGAACATTCGCCCCTTGGTGTTCCCAGGCTACATCATGCAACATCATGCAACTGTGATCTTTGAATGGGAGAAAAGGAGAGGATGAAATAAAAAAATGTAATATTTCATGGATGGCACATGATGGCGCCTTCTCCTAGGCCAAAAGCTCCTAAACCTCACAGCTACTCTAGCAGCTACAGAACGATTCTTCTTCAACATTCCGTTTTCGACAGTCCACCCAGCGCCAGCACCATCCTCCCATTTCCTCCCCATCTCCACCCATCTCCTCCGGGATCACCTCAATGACTTCCTTTTTCCCATCCAACGTCTGCGCCTGCAAACGCAGGAAAAAGCTCACGAACCGAACCGAACCGCAGCCGCTCGCCACTCGCCGCTCACCTCACCGAAACCGCCGCTCGCTGCTCGTCATCCGACACGCCGAGCAACAACCGCGCGCGTCTCTCGCCCGCGCGGTGGAGGCCTCACTGGTGCGGTAGACCACCCGGGTGCCCACCGGGGGAATGGTGTGGTTGAAGGCCCCACACACCATTGAGGCCACTGATGCGATGTCCTACAGTGGCGGGGCGCTTTTCGGGCAGCGCGAGGCGTTCGGGCAGCGAGGAGGAAAAAGGCGGAGGAATGCCCTAGTCGCAAGCAGCTAAGGAAGGAGGTCTTAGAGCAGCTGAGGAAGGAGACATCCGACCTCAAAGTCACATGGATTTCAAGAATTAGAGGGACAAAGGTGATCACGATCAGTCACCGCGGATCACTGATCAGTTGGATGCGTGCGAACGCGAAAGTGGTGTGCCACGGCCACCTGGCGTAACAAACCATCCGCGCTGAACTAGCACTCTATAAGGCTATACCCTAAAGTCCTGAAGTAGCACTTCCTCATGGGGCGGGCACCCCCAAATTCCGGTGCACGAAGCCTTCTTCGCGCAATGATGAAACCAAAAAACATCCCAAGCAGCATTCATCCCCCAACCAAATCCAGCAATAGCAACCCCGGACAAATTAATCCCCCCACACGTCGCACGTGGAAGGTCAACAAAGTCAATGTACGAGATATACCACTCATAAGATCCAGCTCCCCTGAATAATCTGCTAAGGGGAGCGTAGTAGAAGCAGCAGTAGTAGCACAGTGGGCTCGGATTATTTGGGGGGGTTCTAGTGTCCAACTACGGCAACTAATACTTCTTCTAAGTTGGGCAGTTTTCCGAGGCTTTGTGGGCACGGGTTAACTAGGGGAGGTTGACATCTTCACTTTACAATTCTGGTTGGTGTTTTCAACCCACTTGAAAAGTTCGTCAGAGGGCCCAATCCTCCCCAAGTAAGGGTTGAACATAAATATATCCGAAACCATCACCTAGAATTTTGTCCAGTCCAGGGGCCATCATTTCATGGGCCGTCCAATGATCCCGCGCTCCTCGCCATGGTCTGGCTTGATCGAGCCCACCCTGAGCACGAAAACACGGGGAGACTTCTTTCGGATGGAGGAAACCATTGGTCACCACTCCTATTTCTATACAGCCTATACAGGTCAGGAACCAGGAGACCCCTTTCCGGGGTGTTGTTTGGACCCTGTTTGGGGTGGTTCACAAACACCCCCGGTAGCCACCAAGCCCTTGGCACACCGTCTCACGGGTCTCCTGGAACCTCATGAAAAGTGGAGTTCGTCGTACAAAAACACCTCTCAGTGAGGTGGACTGGACCAGGTCTACTGGATCAGACTGGACCTGTATGCATGTGGATGCAGATGTCTGTCTACTCCCGAGCCGTGTCCCGAAAAATACCCTTTTCGACCTGTTACTTGTTCAGTGGGGTTGCTTCTTCCCCCCCGCCAAGATAAAGGTTAAAGCTTACCCACTCGATATTGACGGCTGCGGATAGGCCACAGCCCTACAACTGGGCCAGGAAGGCCTGGCTGTGTTGGTCAGAAGGGTCCAGCTACGCCCGAAGCATGTAGTCCGCTGGTCAGTTCATGTCACGCGAAGCACGGAGCTTTGGCTTCGCGTCACGTCCAGACTTGCCCATCACATTCTTCGGGGATATTGTTTTGTTATAGCCCAAACACTCCATGTCTGTCAATATGCCTATATTGACCCCTCACATGGAGTGTCTGCATGGGTAATACCCTATGGATCCTCTGCCACCGAACCTGAGAAGGTGATTTTAGACTATTGATGTAGGGCGCCTGGGTCGGGCCCAGGCGTACCTTCTGAGGAGGTCAGTGGATCCTTAAGGATTATTTGGTATGTTTTTTCCCCACACCTGAGGGTTGTTAGATTTTACGTACATTGATTGCCTTCCAGATCCTTCCTTCTCCTGCGTGTGACCTGTTGGAGTCCCTTGAAGGCAAACCCTCTTTACAGACCTCAGTTCCCAGCAGGTCAAGTTGGGTCACCAGTTCGGTCGAACCAGGCTGAGGGGAGCCCAAAGTTCCCAGCTAGCTGTCTGGGTTGGGGAGCGTAGATCCTGTAGCTCTGAGTTCCGGCTACCCTGTTTAATGGAGAACATGAATGAAATATGGTGACCTCCAGCTCCGGATCGCTCCCCACAGCTCGACAGGATGATACTCAGGCTTGGGCGAGTATCCTGATTCCTCAATCGTCCCAACCCTGGCGGCGCGCTGGGGTGTCATGTCGCATTTCAGCGACCAGTTCACGTGGCTTCCTTTGAGAAGGTGGCTTGGAAGCAGAACGCCAACTCTGTTTTTTTGTTGTGCCTGATAGGTATAAAGGTTGGGAACATTAAGTGTATCTTTATATATATGTATATATATTCACACACACATACAGCCGTACGCTATAAGGTCAATCACTTGTCCAACCATAATATCCACAGTCTTGAAACAATGGAGTGATGTGAAAAATAAGAACAGTCATGAGAAAAGGAGAATCGCCCCTTTCCCCACGACCAGTTTCAATGTCTCACACAGCCCGAAAGCTGGGTACAGTGAAAGCGTCATTAATGATTAATGATTAATCATTAATGTCATGTAGACCGTAGACTTTTGATTTCATTATAAACGCCCCCATATGTAGAGGTTGTTCAATCCAAATTGAGGGGGTGTATCATTCAAGAGTCTACATTCAGTTGGAGAAGCCACGGTCGACACATGACCTTCGAATTCGGCACCCTGAGTCACTGGCCGAAAAAGACTCGGAATGTGACATGCTGGGAATGAGCTCCCCGAGGGTGTCGGACCCCTTTGTTCCCTTGGTGGCACCACACCTCAGATCATCCATGGGACTCAGCTCATCGCCGCCGCATTGACCCCGACAACTCCAACCGCCGCGTCATGTAGTTGCCCAGTCACCCGGCCAGTCCCATGGAGGGTCGGCGGAAGATCACAGAAGCCCGGCCTCAGAGTCACTTCACCTGCCATGTTCAAGCTGCTGAGTGCCGTCGCCGCGTGGGCTACCTGAGGATAGGAGAACTGCACCAGCGATGACTCGGACTCCCCTTCCGAACCGGATCCCACTGGCACACATTCAAAAACAAACACATGTTGAATAACTTAGACTCTTGAGGTACCTAACCCCCCCAGTTGAATTGGACATCCTCTTCATAAGGGGGGTTATGTACCTCAAGAGTCTACATTATTTGTGAATGGGCAGCCACCTTTGGAGGCAGTTCGATGCTTATCGATGTTTCATTCACTTCGAGCAAAAACCACCGCTGGCGAAACCAGCGGCATGTGGACGGGCATGTGGCGTGTCGCGCCCGCCTCTCCCGGCGTGAGGCCGAACAAGCTTGGTAGTAACAAGAAGCTAGTAGTAACAAGTGCCTTACTAGTAGTAACAAGAAGCTATTAATTTAGATTCAATTCTATTTAAAAAAAACTTTAAAAAAAACACCATAATGCGCCATGTCTTTTTGTCGCTGGCTATTCTAGCCGAGACCTTCGCAGGTGTTGATCAAGTGCACTTGGTGCCTTGGATGCTTTCATGTGCACAGGGGCGTCGTCGTACGTTTCTTGAACCATTTCTTGGAGTTCCACTCCTTTCACATCATGTGATGCAAAAGAACTCTTCTGGCATGAGTATGACCTGGTGCTACAGGACCAAACATCGATGAACCGAAGACTGCCCCTCTTGTTCGCAGCTGGGGAAACCAATGGAAGGACATATAGGAACTGCGATGCCAAACATGCCTCATGTCAACACAGGTCGTCTTTCCCTGCAAAGAAAGCCCAGTCGTGGCAAGGATGGCATGAGAATCCGCGCTGAAAAGCTGCAAATACATGCAGGGGCCCACATCACGAGTCTCCATGATTGGCCTTCCCACTTCGCCCCTCCAATTGGCTTTCCCTCAGAAGCTCATGCGTTAGCTTGCACAAGCCCACGACTCGGCGCGCGCTGTGGGTGTGCTGAACCAGCCACTTAGGTCTTGAATTGATTTGGAGCTCGAGCCCCTTTCTTACTTCGGACACCACCCACGCTTCGCTGCGGTTGGGCTCAGAATTCACCATCGGCTGCTTTCTGGGGCTCAAAGAGGGCGAACCCCTCATTCGGTGTCTCCTTACATCAAGGGTCATGACACGTGCGATGCTCACATCTAGCAGGTTATACTTTTAGAGGGATAAGTCAAGAACCTGTAGGATCTGAACTTAAATCATCTTGAAGCTGCCAGCCAGCCGGCGACGCTTCTGGGAATCACAAACACACACACACAACCAAAAAAACAGATCGTCATAAGCTGTCTCTGAGCAT